GCCTGGTTCCCTCTCTCTCTCAGATCTATTTATTTATTATGTACACAGCACATAGTGTTCTGCCTGCATACGTGTCTATCTGCCAGAAGAGGGCACCAGATCTCATTATGGATGGTTGTCAGCCACCACCATGTGGTTGCTGAGAATTAAACTCAGGTCCTCTGGAAGAGCAGCCAGTGTTCTTAACCTCTGAGCCATCTCTCCGGCCCTTGCTTGGTTCTCTTTTCTCCTTGTTGGCTTAAGAGAAACTCGTAAATCTCCCGCCCTCATGAATTCAGTTTGACCCTGTCTTCATTCGTTAGTGCATCCGACTATCTTCAGGTTCCCTAGTGGGAACTATCTTCAGGTTCCCTAGTGGGCCTCCTCTCTGAACGCCTTGCCTCTTATCTCTCCTTTCCCATTCTGTACTTCTTCCTACCACCCCCCCACTCCCACCCCAGCATTCAAAGACCTAAAAATCTTCCAGTCACCTAGGAACCCCCTGGCTGGGTTTAGCTTAGCTTATGACATCTCTACCAAGAACAAACACAAGAATATGAGAGATAAAAACAAACACATGTCTTACTTAGCACACAGGTGCCTGTGCTCAGCACACATGGTTGCCAGGTCTGTGGCTCAGGACCCTTGGCACAATGAAACAGAGGTGTTCCCCTGCGGGGTGCAGTGCAACTCAGAAGAAGGGAACTGCAGACATTACACATGGAAGGTGGTTCCTGGGAAGGCTGAGAGCTTGAGCCTCAGTGATTAGCACCCCCCACACACACCCACACCTGAAGAAACTGTGGGAGGCAATAATGAAGTTGCTCTCCACTGGAATATTTTATAAAGTCTAAGATTCATTTCATTTCAGCAAAGTAGGAGTTAAATCTGTCGGCAGATGTTTCTGTCCCGCCTTCCAGTTCCCAAATAACAAGACACTGAGACCTAACATTACTTATAAATGCTCGGCCAATAGCTCAGGCTTGTTACTAGCTAACTCTTACATTTAAAATAATCTATTTTTCTTATCTATGTTTTGCCATGTGGCTTGGTACCTTTTCTCAGTATAGCATGCCCATCTTGCTTCTTCCTTTATCTGGCTAGTGGCTCCTGACTCTGCCCTTCTTCCTCCCAGCATTCTCCTAGTCTGGCTCTCCTGGCTAACCTTATTCTGTTCAGCGATTAGTCAGCTTGTTTATTAAACCAATTCCAGAGACAAATCTTCACAGTTTACAAAGGGATTATTCCACAACATAAATCATCACATCTTACCACCCCAAATACCCCAAAGGGGGTAGAGAGTCCCATTCCAAGTCTAAAGGAGTCAGTATGGCTGAAGCCAGTGGTAGGCAAGTGGGAATCTTTGGCAAAGGGAAACTAGAAGTATGCACAGTTTCCTGTAAAATTTTCCATTTCTAAAATCATATTTTATTATATAATTAATATTACCTATTCTGTTGAAACCTACCAGATGCTAACTTGTGATTCAAGGATAAGACACTCATTTGTTCACAATTCTTTGCATACTTACTCCTTATATTTTTGGTTGTGAGCCTAGCCTTTAATGGCTCAGCTATCTCTCCAGCCTGCATACTTACTCCCTAACTTCTTAAATCAACAATAAGAAAAAGTATCTTTGAAATTTATATAGCTATTTTTGGTTTTCTTCGTTTTACTTGGGGATGTGACAGAATGTTTTAGAGTGTATTTATCTAACATTCAGCAACAGGAGTCAAGCTCCCTCCCATTCCCACTCCTCTATCAGTAGCTCTGGTAACACTAAGGCTTCAAGGAAGTAAAGTATAACTCCCAAACCACAAAAGACTGAGTTAGGACCCTGTCCTAACTTCCCTGCTTAAGTTGCTTTGTAAAGACTCACTACGGCTTTTTTGAAGGAGGGGGAGTGGGAGTTTCCAGACAGAGGTTCCCTGTGTAGCCTTAGCTGCCCTGGAACTCCATCTGTAGTCTAGGCTGGCCTCGAACTCAGAGATCCACCTGTTTCTGCCTCCTGAGAGCTGGGATTATATGTATGTATGTATGTATGTATGTATATATATATATATATATATTATAATGTCATGATATAACATAGGAATAAGTAGATGGCTAGCAGACAGATAAGAATACTCAGAAATATATGTATATTTGCATATGCATGCAAATTTACTTTCCAAGCAGTGAGTAAAGAATATATGCAATCAATATTTGGACAACTGGTTAACCACTTGGCAACATTTAATTTCTTATTGAACAGCTTCATTTCTAAGAATCAATTCAAAGGGATTTAATGGATAAATGCCTGAACAAAAATAATGATCATAGTAACTTTGGGAAACATGAAAACCTTGTGTCTGTCACAGTAGATTATTTCAGATATGTTTGTAACATCTAAACTATGGAACACCATGAGTCTAATTTAATGAAACAGATTCATGCATATGGGGATGGAAGGATACCATATTTAAATGTAAAGAATCAAGTTCCAAATCTGTGGATATGCTTTGACCTATTTTTGAAAATGTGTGAAGAGAAATTTTTTTCTCCTACTACTTCTTTGCCTTTAGGAGTATTTTCAGCTGTCCTTGAACACATTGGGATAGAATACAACTTCTTGAATAGAACACCAGTAGAACTCCAATTGGGATTGACAATTAATGAATGGGACCTACTGAAAATAAAAAGTTTCTGTAAGGCAAAGGGCACAGTCAATAAGACAAAATGGCAGCCCACAGAATGAGAAAAGATCTTCACCAACCCCACATCTGACAGAGGGCTAATCTCCAAAATATATAAAGAACTTAAGAAAATAGACACCCAAACCCCAAACAATTCAGTTAAAAAATGGGGTACAGATCTCAACAGAGAATTCTCAACAGAAGAATCTCACATGGCCAAGAAACACTTAAAGAATTGTTCATCATCCTTAGCCATTAGGGAAATGCAAATCAAAATGACTCTGAGATTCCATCTTACACCAGTCAGAATGGCTAAGATCAAAAACACTAATGACAGCTTGTGCTAGAGAGGGTATGGAGTAAGAACACTTCTCCACTGCTAGCAAACTTGTAGGCCATTTTTGAAACCAGTATGGTGGTTTCTCAGAAAATTGGGAATCAATCTACCTCAAGACCCAGCAATACCAATTTTTGCCATATACCCAAAGGAAGCTCAATCACACCACAAGGACACTTGCTCAACTATATTCATAGCAGCGTTAATGGCCAGAACTTGGAAACAACCTAGATGCCCTTCAACCAAAGAATGGATAAAGAAAATGTGGAATATTTATACAATGGAGTATTACTCAGCTATTAAAAACAATAACACCAGGAAATCTGAAGGCAAATGGATGGAACTAGAAAAAAAAAATCATCCTGAGTGAGGTGACCCAGACCCAGAAAGACAAACGTGGTATGTACTCACTCATAAGTGAATATTAGGTGTAAAGTAAAGGTTAACCAGGCTACAATTCACAGCCCCAAAGAGATTAGGTAACAAGGAGGGCCCAAAGAAGGGATACATGGATCTCCCTGGAAAGGGGAAATAGAAGAGATCTTCTGGGTAGACCAGGGGCAGGTGGGGATGGGAACATGAGGGATTGGGTTGAGGGGTGCATGGAGGGGGAATTAAAGACATGACTCGATGTGCAGCATTTCAGGGTCAGGTAGAAACCTGATGTAAGGGAAACTCCCATGAATCTACTAAGACTCCTATCCAAGCAATAGTGGATATGTAGACTGAACTGGCCATCTCCTGTAATCAGATTGGTAACTACCCCAATTGTCATCGTCCAGTAACTGATGGAAACAGATGCAGAGATGTTCAGCTAAGCACTGGGCCAACCCCGGGGGACTCCTGTTGAGGAGAAAGGAGGAAGGATTGTAGAAGCCAGGGAGTCAGGGTCATCACAAGGGAACCCACAGAAGCAACTGGCCTGCTCATGGGAACTTAGACACTATGGCCCAGCGGCTAGGAGACCTGCATGGGACAGGCCTAGGCCCTCTGCCTATGTGTGGCTTGGTCTACATGTGGAACTCCTGGCTGTTGGAGCAGGGTCTGTCCCTAATGCTTTGGGGAACTTGTTCCTAATGCTGGGTTGCCTTGCCCAGCCTTAATACAAGGAGAGGAGCTTAGTCCTACCTCAACTTGACAGGCCATGTTTTTTTGGCACTCATGGGAGGCCTGCGGCTTTCTGAACAGAGGTGGAGGAGGGATGGATTGGGGAGGGGCAGCAGAGGGGGTATGGGGGAGGGCATTGGAGGAGGGGGAAAGGGGGAGCTGCAGTAGGGATGTAAAATAAATGAAAAAAAAAACTAGTAAGCTATTAACTCCCCCCCCCACCCAGTTCCTCTGTCTTAGCTCTTTTTACCCAGGTGACTTCAGTGCAAGTTCCTACTTGTGGCCTAAGCTTTCAAGACACTCTGGGTCAATAAATGTGCTCAGAGACCCGGGTACTTGCCATGCTGTCTATAATTTCGTGTCATATCGGCTTGCATTTCCGAATTACTTTGTTTCCTTTTCTCATTTCTAAAATCCATGAGGGCAGGGGCAACATACAGGTCAGTGTTCACTTCCAAGCCCGGCGACACCCGGCCAAGTGACTCACGCTTTCTTCCTATATGGCAAACAAGCACGCTTGTACATGGTGTCTATAAGCTCTCATGGTGTCTGCACCCTCGGGGAACACCACCGTCACGTCCACTCGGAGGGAGAGGGAGACAAAGAGCTTTGAAGCTTGACCCAAAAGCCATTGGTGGAGCTGAGCTGCTCGGGCCTGGCCCTGGGCCACTAGACTCAGTGTGAGGTGATGTTAACACACATCGGCTCCCCGGGGAGGAAACAGGGCCTGCCACGCTTGAGGCTCGCACGGGGGGACAGCACGGCTGGACTTGAGCTCGTCCGCAGCCCAGGTGAAAGCCCCGCCCGCGACCACAAGCGGGGAATTTCCCAAGGGCGCCTCGGGGGCGGGGCGATCTTTTTGCGGTGGGCGGGACCATTACTGATTGGCTAGATCTAGGCGGAAGTCGGGAGGTTCGATGTTCCGAAGACGCCAGCTTGTGACGGGGAGGGGGAGGAGGAAGGCTTCCGTAAAAAGGTGCCTTTCGGTCCCTCCGCTCCCGGGGACCCTCGGAAAAAGCCCACCGTACCGACCCCGCGGCTAACCCCTCCCTCAGGCTCTCTCCGCTCGATTTCGCACCGTTATGTGGGAAGCGAATCCGGTGAGTAGCCGGCGGGACGGGGCGGGCCCAGTGGGCGGGGGGGCCTGGGAAGGGCGGGAGGCGTTCCCGGCAACTCGCCCCCGCCGTGCCTCCGGCTCCGGGTTTGCGTTCCGGGGTCGTGGATGTCCTGGGTCTCGGGCCTCCTGCAGGCCGCGGTCCCCGTGCCTTTGAGCCCTGGCAAGGTTCGGAGGCCGCTTCCAAGCGTTTGCTTTACCTCTCTCGATTGTTGATTTTACTTCCGGGGGCTTCTCCGTCTACGCTATTGCCTTAGTATAATTTTGTATGTTGCTTTCATAGAATTACTGGCTTTCGAATCTGCTAATTTCTTTCGGCCCCGCACCCTCATTGCTCCTCCACCCCCCCCTTTTTTTTTTCCTTTGGAGCTACAGAGGTTTTAAGATGAGTTTCAGAGGATGACGTTCTAGGATGTTTTCTTTCCGTGGTTAGAACAATGATCTGGAATCCTCCTTTGTTTGCCTTCGGTAGTTCCTATGTCTGCAGGCATTTTTTGTTACTTTGCCTCCATCCATCCATCCATCCATCCATCCATCCATCCATCCATCCATCCATCCATCCGCCAAGAATATTCAGTTCTTGTTACGGGAATATGGTAGAAAAAAAATGCACACCGAAGTTAGAACTTCGTTGACCGGCAGAATCGCATTTCAAGAAATTTGTGGACTACCCCGGAGGCTGACTAGCCATTAAGTTTACTTAACTCCCACTGTCTATAATTGAAATAAGTCCTTTGCTGCTCTTCCTGCTTCTGGAATGTATTTCGGGTTAAGTCTGTCAGAAAACTCCGCGATGCTTTAAAGTTCGAACCCGGTAGAAATGAGCCCGTTGATTGGAATTCGGGTGCACATGTGGTTCCATTTCATTCCATCATGACAGTTATCAGATGGTTTTGATTCATACATTATAATATTGTAATCAGTTCGGGTCAGAGGAAGGTACTTGTTTGGATATGATTTTAGCAAAACATTTAGCATTGAGATAAAACTTGCTTATAGATGATCATACATTCATTCACTATTATCTTCATTTTATATCTGTATTCATCTCGATACCTGTATATATGGATATGGAGTCGGTTTTTATTAGTAGCCCCTTTCTTTTGATTTTCCACAAACACCCATTAGCAGGGTATATGTTGTGTTCAAGGTCACATACTATAAATCCTCTGAATTGTCTCTGTGAATGTGATATGTTTATTGTTGTATATTCACTAGAGGACAGATCCTGTTGCATAACAAATACTTGTCGCTTTTTTATTTGTTTATTTTTTTCGTTTTTTCAAGACAGGGTTTCTCTGTGTAGCTTTGGAGCCTGTACTGGAACTTGATCTGTAGACCAGGCTGCCCTTGAACTCACAGAAATTCTGCCTCTGCTGGGATTAAAGGGCATGCCCCACTATCGCCCAGCTACTTGTTGAATTCTTGACAGTGACTGGCTAGTAATGCACAAAGAGGTCTCTACTCAGCCTGTTCATTTTCCCTTCAGGATCATGCTTATATTTGTACTGTTGGGCCAGTTACACTTTGGTTAGAATTAGAAAGGATCTAGTGAATAACTCATGTATTTGGTTTGTTATGTCACTGTTTCTTTGTAAAAAAGGGCCCAGTTTTCTGTGAAATCATATGTAAGACTTTTCTTAAGTTTTGCTAAGCAAGCTGACTTTTGCTAATTATAATGGACATACAGCCTTGGGCTCTTTTTTGGGCCCGTGTGCCATCCTCACATGGCTGAGTGCTATTGTGAGCACCTGAATGTTGTCAACAAGACAGCTTATTTTTAAAAATATTTTATTATATGTGTATGGGTGTTTTCACCTCATGTATATTTGTGCACCACATTTATGCAGTGCTTCCAGGGGAGGGTATTGGATCCCCTGGAACTGGAGTTAACTGCCATGGGGGTGCTGGGAATCAAACCAGCCTCTGGAAGAACAGCCAGTGTCTTAACCGGGGAGCCATCTCTCCAGCCCCCATAGCTTAGTTTTTATTTTATTTCATTTTTATTTTAAGTAAGCTTTGCATTTAAGTGTTTCACTAGTAACCTATGAGTGTCTTTTGACAGAAGGGGTATCTGCAAAGCATGTCTAGCTTTGCCGGGGAATAAAATTGTCACCCTAAGCCATACACATGTGGGAAGATTTGAAATTGAAGTATAAAAGTAAAGCAAGTCCCCAGCCACAGTGTACTTTTAATATCAGTTCAGATAACATTTGCATTCCTGACCAAATGCTTTTTGTAATGAGGGAAGGTTTTTGTTAAATGATGGTGAACTGATTTTGCCTAACTTTCCCTTGTAGTTTTGATAGTCTCCATGGCTTTAAGGCCTTAACCTGAAAATAATACCTCCTCTTACTCCTATGATAAAATAGCTACTTTGTGAAAACTGTTTCATGAATGTTTTGAGGGCATCGTACACTGACCCTGGTGTGGATCCACTCAGAAGCAGTCTCCAGGAAGTGGTTAGAACATGGAAAATTACTGCTGCAGATTTTGTAATATTTCCTAAAACCCAGGGGTGACAACCCAAAAGGAGGGATAAAGAATTATCCCATTTTACTATTTTACTTTTGAATACAAGCATAATGTCTGTATTGTTTTGTTTAGTCTTCTGCCCAGTCCAGTCAGGTTGACAGGGGCAGCAGGCAGTTCTGTGGGTTCTTGGCATCTCTCCATCTATTGGGGAGAGACCCTGGGACATTTCTCACTTATGAAAATGGCAGCCTGTAGGAAAAGTTAGAGGGTTACTTATTGTTCCTGCCTTGACTCTGAATCCTGATTTTATCTTTCCTTTCTTGGCTGTTTGACTGTGTCTCCTCTCTTTGCTGGGAATGGAGTGTTTCCCTGGAATTGTAAGGCAGGAACAGGCTTTGGGTTTTCTCTGTCACATAAATGAAGAGGACTGAAAGGTAACAGACATTTGTTTAAAAGTTGTCTTAGATAGGGTTCTATTGCTGTGAAGAGACACCATGACCATTGCAACCCTGTAAAGGAAAGCATATAATTGGGTCTGGCTTAACAGGTTTACTCCATTCAGTCCATGGTGGGAAACGTGGTAGTGCAGTCAGACATGGTACTGGAGAAGGAGAGTTCTACATCTGGATCAGCAGGCAGCAGGAAAAGACACACACTGGGTCTGGCTTGAGCATCTGAAACCTCAAAGCCTAACCCCAGTGACACACTTCCTCCAACAAGGTCACACCTCCTAATAGTGCTACTCTCTATGAGCATATGGGGGCCATTTTCATTCAAGCCATCACAAGAGTACACACTGTTTATTACACTGACAATGTCTTTATAGAAATTGTTAGTCTCCCAAAAGTCATTTCTATGTATTGATTCAAGTTGTTAGAATAATCTGAGTTGGCTAAGGGAGAGAAAAATGGTTTTCCCAAGATGACACACCACACTTGTCTTCATGGCCTAGCTCTCTTTGTGTTCCATTTTGATCCTCGGTGCAATGATGACTTCCAGGTGTTAGTCCCTGCTTTGTCCTCAGAACCACCTTTTTTCACTGTTATATTCACAACTGCTTCTCACTTCCTTGGAGCTTTGATTTTTGTCTCTCTCATTCGGTCAGACTGCTTGAAATTCATAGCCACAGTCCACTCCTGCAGGCTGGCTTCTGCCAACACTACTTTCCAGGAAGTCCTCAAGAATCTTGAATCACCACATACAGTGGTTGACTTAGGTACCTTTGGCTGGTTCTGTTTTGGATGCCAATTACAGATTGCCCCTCAAACCTTCCCTTTCATTGTTCCTGGAACTGTGTACTCACTGAGTTTCCTCTAATTTCCCTTTTTATTTCATTTTATTTGTTTATTTATTGTGTGTGCATGTACACACATACCATGTTACAATAAAATGTCAGAGGACAACTTGTGGTAATCATTTCTCTCCCTCCACCATGTATTTGACTTCTGGGGATGAACACTGATTGTCAGGTTGTTAGCTAGCGCCTTTCCTGGCTGAGCCATCCTGCCTTTTTCTGAGATTTGTTTTCAGGTATAGTTCTGGGCTAAGCTCGTGGCCTCCTGAAACATCCCACCTTTGATTCCCCCCCCCCCTTTCAGCACATCCTTTCTAGGTCAGCTCCACGCTAACCTGTGGACATGCCTGCTAAGGGTTAGCTTTAGTCTTGACTCCTCTCACTGCTTGTCCCTTTGATGAAACTAAACTATTGGTCATTAGTTCATTTCACCCAGCAAGTCATCAGGAAATGTTTCCTACATACTAAATAAGCATGATTCTGATACTTGAAGAGAGGAGTGCAAACATGGACTGAATCAGAGCCTGGCGGCCCCATGAGGTCACTCACTGTATGCAGTGTGTGTTGTGGGAAGAAAGTGGTATCTGATGGTGTCTGGGATGCCGGGAAGACTGTTGAAATAAGTTACATTTGAGTAAATCCTTATAGATGGAATCATATGGGAAGACCAAAGCAAGTAAAATGACTCAAACCCATGAAATGGAAAGTGGATGCCAAGTACAGAGAAATGGAGAAAGTGCTTCCTCGACTAAAGATGGAGGGTTGTCCTAGTCACTATTCTATTGGTGTGAAGAGGCAAAGTTAACAAGGCAACTCTTACAAAAGAAAGCAATTAATTGGGAGCTTGCTTACAGTTTCAGAGGTTAAGGCCATTAGTTCCACACCCTGTCTGCAGTTCTCCTTGGTAGGTATCTCACAACTTAGGCATCTCTGACAGCTTGGTGTCTCGGAGAAATCCAAGTTTCATCTTCACAGCTTCACTCAGTGGCCTCTCTGGGCCTCCATGCAGGGACACCACTGACACACACCAGGCCTCAGCAGCTTTCCTTAGCTGAGGAGGGAGATTCCACAACCCATTTGTATTATTGACTCTAAAGCCAGAACCACATGGCTGAAGTTGCCAGGTTCTGTGGCTTAATGGGGTTGGAACTTGACCTCCTCCTTCAGGAACATCTGTGCCAGTTTTCTGTGAGTGATGGTGTTTTTCATTGCTTAAC